GCCATTTTCTTCACCTGGTGGCCATTTTGGAACGAAACAATGAGGACCATACTGGAGAGAATGGTCCATGTTTTCAAATGTCACTATACCAGTTCACAGACCATGGGAAACAAACAAGACAGCCATGAACACTGGAAGCACATATGATTTCTTAGGCATTACTGAAGTCTGGGGATCAGATTTATAACTGGACTGCAGTAATGGAAAGACCTAACTTATTCAAAAGGCATAAACTAAACAAGAAGGGAGAATGAATAGCTTTATATGTAAAAGAGAGGCTCAACTGTGAGCAGATAAATGATTCTGAGCATGGAAGGTTGAAGACCCTTTATGTGAAACATGTAGAGTGAAAACAATGGAAGGGGCAGTCTCCTACAAAACTGAGTGAACACTGGGATAATTCCCCTTTAGATCATATGACATCAAGATAAGTATAAATATATATAGTTCAATGACCTGATATCTGCTACAATTCCAACTCTACTAAGAATGGAAGGTCCACCAAATTCTTCATTACCTTGCTGATTACTTCATCTTCCAAGAGATGGGAGAAGGATCCAGCAATCCTGGATCCGGTTCTCACCAACAGGTTAATGTGGTGGAAGTAAAGGGAAACTTGGATGCAAATAACTACACTCTACTTCTTGGAGAGAGAAGGAAAAGCAGTACAATACACACTCCAGCCCTTTAAAAAATTGAAGTCAAAAAGCTGAAAGAGGTATTGAATAAGATCCTATGTTAAAAATAATGTATTTCACACTGAAATAAAATTGTTATTGAAGTGCTATAAGATTTTTTTCCTTTTCTTTTACAAACATGGTGTGATGGATTAACATGGCTACTTTTTTGGAAATTGGTACCAAGGAAGGTTCTAGAACAATTTAACATGGAAATCTGGGTTCAGGATCCTGCCTGGAAACTAAGTGGGCCAGAGGTGGCATGACCACTCCTTAGATATTGCATATAACTTTAAAAAAAACTATTACAGTCATTGTAAGTTGAATGCAACTTGGTGGTACATAACAAAGATTTTTAACTATGGAGATGAAGGTGTCTATACAAGGCTGTGATCTTATTATCTAAAGGCTGCAACAGTCCTGAGTCAAGAATAGCTCACTAAATGTCAGAGCAGAGTTTCATCTTTAAAATGAAGCTGTGCAATGAAAACAGTCCATTCAAGATCAAGCCAAAACACACACACACAACTGTGCATTATGATAGGAATAAGTATGATAGGAATATATTCTCACAGTGAAAAATCTGTTGTCATCTCCAAGCTGTTTGCGAAGGCTGCTGCTAAGCTCAAAAGGCAGAGAGAAATTTGGCAGGGGTGACAGATGACTTCATCCTCTCTGCTAATCTAAAAGTCCTGGCATTCCAAGTCTAAAAGTCCTGGTTTGACTACACCATTCTAACTGTTTATGATGATGATCAAGGGACAATGGTAGATATATGCATCTAAAATATATGTACAACCCTTTTTGAAAACTCCAGATTTTGGGTGAGCTCCTGTGACACAAAATTGCCAACCACCAAAGCAGCCACGCCTGAATATATTCAAAAAAGATCCTTCCGTGTTGTTGCTCCTTATGTTCTGGAATTCTCTTCCTCCGTCCCTGCAAAGCATGGCATCGCTGCCGGGATTCAAGAGTGAAGGCAAAGTGCAATTGTTTTTTTTGGGGGGGGGGGCTTTGGAAGCTAGGAAATGCTATTTCAACAGGTGGCATACATTTTTATATGGTAATATATATAAGATAAAGTTGTTTATGTTGATGCTTGGTTTTATCTGAGTATTATATTGTTGTCTATCTTATGTGCATTGTTTTTGTGCTGTGTGTTGTTCTGGGTCCCCAGAGAGAAGAACGGCATATAAATGAAAATGTTATAAAAGAGAGATGAGAAGGGGGAAGACACAGCAGGCACCTCTCACTGACTTCCTTCCTTTGCCTGCATAGTTTCACATCCTGCCTGGATTTTCAACCATCTGGTCTTCATCTACTCTGGGAGATGTGAGAAGACAAGCTAAAAGCTCCCTATTGCAAACTGTTTAATGTAAAAAAAAAAAGCAGCTTCATTAGTAAGGGTGCTATTTTAGATGTGAAGGTTAGTTATTTCAGTTGTACAAAGAATCAGAGGACTACAGCCCATAACAGTGATGTTCTGATGAAGATTTTCATACTGCACAGTATGGAAAATATAACTGAAGTTTTGACATCTGGTGTTTGCCATTTGCTTTAGAAAGAAGAAAATATTTTTCTAACTCATATTACTGAACTTTTTAAAAAGCACATATAGACAGTTTCTGCCACACCTTAGGGAAGCAGAAAGAGAGATGCACCAGTCATCTGAATATCTGAATACTTTTTGTTGAGAGACGAAAAAGATTAAAATTACTAATTCTTGAATATTTTGCACCTGTGTAGGTGGACATTAACATGAAACAAGGAAGTCATGATTACTCCAGTTTTTGTCCTTCCAACCTTTCTAATAGAAAGCCTGGCTAGTGTAGTTTCAAATATGCAAAACGTGGCTGCATTGAGTGACAGCTCTTTATTAAATCACAGTGAAAGGCTTGTGTCTACATTTGCAGCAGAAAATTCTTGAATATTTTGCACCTATGTAGGTGGACATTAGCATGAAACAAGGAAGTCATGATTACTCCAGTTTTTGTCCTTCCAACCTTTCTAATAGAAAGCCTGGCTAGTGTAGTTTCAAATATGCAAAACGTGGCTGCATTGAGTGACAGCTCTTTATTAAATCACAGTGAAAGGCTTGTGTCTACATTTGCAGCAGAACATTTTGTCCTTTGAAAGGCTAAGAAACCTTTTAGTATGTTGGGTTGGATAATAACTTCATTAGATTACTGAAAAGTTACAACCAACATAAGCTTTCAGGACCTGCATTTGACAATTTTTTTTTTAACTGCTTGCTTCCTCTCAGTTACTTTTGCCAGATGAGGAGTTATGGTAGGAATTTTGATTCTGTTGATTAATCATGCTATATTTTAGTTTGTACAACTATAAATCAAGCTGATTATAACAACTTCAGGAATAACTATTGCTTTCCTCTCTGAAGGGTTATGTCAGAACTGACTTGACGATAAATAATATGACTCTAATAGGACTTTCAAGATAACTGAGATATGAGTTTTACCCACACACACACATTCAAGAGTTTCCATGGCCAAATGGGAATTTGAACCCAGATTTCCTAATCTGTCACTCCATCTGCTACACCAATTGAGTATTCGCAATTGAGTCAATCAGGGGTCCCAAACACAATTTACCTGGGAGCCACTGGAGACAGAATCTGGGTGAGGCTGGGCCACATCAGATTTTCTGCCAAGCGGAGCAAGAGCCCGAGGAAGCTGCCCAGGAGTTTCCTTAGCCTCTCTGGGGCTCCAAGGAGGATGAGGAGGGGCATGCGAGCCCTCGTCGTTGGCCACGAATCCCTCCGGCTTCTTCTTCACTACCACCACCACCAGCAGCAGCAGGACAAAGAAGTGGAGAAGGGAGGGAGCGCTAGCGACTTCCTAGCCAGGGGGAAAGGAGGTCACAACATAAAATTAAAAAAAACCCCTCACAGAATTGCCTTGTCAAAGGAGAAAAGCCCCCAGGCGCGCTGGCTGGCAGGCAGCAATTCCAGATGGAGGGTGCAAGAGGCACTGTCTTGGGAGAGTGAGTGAGTGAGGCAAGGCTTTTTTTACTCCTGACAGCAGAGGACGCATGGGCGCTTCGGGGGGGCAGGCAAGGCGGGGGCCGCAAACTATTGTCCGGTGGGCCACAAATGTTTGAGACCCCTGCTGTAAATCAGGGCCACATGTTTGAGACCCCTGCTGTAAATGGTCCTTACTCAGTCAAGGTTACTATTATTATAAAAACTCAAGGAAGGTGCTCACTTCAAGAGCCAGTGTCAAGTGCACATTTTTGGCCCTCAGTTTCGGCCCTTACTGCCAATAAGCCTATGAAAAGGATGGTGGCTAAGATTTATAATGCATTGTTAGAGATAAAAAACTGAAAACAACTCTCAAAGTTGGAAACAGATTTGGATAAGGAAATAGGTATCAACATGTACATGGAGACAGAGAATTTTGAAATCCATGTTTGGCAAATAAAATAAAACTTGTATTTGCAAAGGCTTTCGCAGCCAGGATCTAATAGTTGTTGTGGGTTTTTCGGGTTCTTTGGCCATGTTCT